CTCTAGCAGCAGTGTTCTGAGATATACTGTCTCAAAGCTATTTTAAAAGTCCATTGCCTGTAACATAATCATGACATCTGTAATACAGTAAAGGCTGAGCAGTAGATATTACTTTAAGGACACATGCAGTGGCCTAATATTTCTTCTACAGACCAGCTTACTTACCACAAGGCATGATCCACATGAACTCCCTTGCAGCCTTCTTTACTTTAATTTGAATCAACTTTAAAAGAGTAGACAAAACATATGGAACAGAATGAGTGAAGAAAACAAAATAAAAAGACCCTGTGCAGTTTGTTGGCAAGTATGACAAAACGTTTATAATTCCTATTTTAGTCATTACTTTTTCCAACTCATTAAACGGCATTTGGTATGACATATACCATGTTAACTTATGATTGTTTTTAAAAACACACCTTGCTGCATTTCTCTGAGATAGTGATAAAGGCACTTTCAGTAATCAGGCCGTATAGCATTCTGGCCTGTTAATCTTTAGGTCCTGAGACTCATCTGTTTCCGATACAATTTATATTGTACGTTTTATTCTGCGCCTTCACATTGTTTTAGACTGGAAATTAAGCAAGTGTTTTGTAATTGTAATGTACAATCATTACCACTAGAGGGTAGCAAGTAGTGTAATAATGTTTTGGGATGTCATTTGATAACTGCACATGATACTGTATCACTGTATAATCAAACAATATCTGCATTGATTCAATTTGCTGCAAAAAATTGAGCTTACAATTTGCAATTTCTGTCCTTTTTTAAACGGTAGGTCCTTAATATTTTCTAGAACTTTGTAACAGATATGTCTGTAAACATAAATAACTACCTCACAATGTTTTGTGGCGTCTCCAGCAAGGATATTTCAAAATCAACCCTTCATCACTCAGCAGGCCAGTGAAGAGGAGGAGATAATGTGGTCTGCTTTCTTTCTCCCATTATTACCTCTTGTGAATTTTCATCAATGAATAAATAACATTTCCTTAAAATACATCCTGCAGTTTAATTGTTGTTTACACACAGATATTTAGTTTAAAATTGTTTATTTTTATATTTTGACCACATATTACAAGTATTTTTGGATTAAGTGTACATTTCCATATAATTGTATAGCTATTTAAATAACATTTGAATAGCTTTCAATATAAGGTGACATGGATTTGCTTTGACCCATTTATACGTTCAAGTTAACCCAGAGTTTTGAATATAATTTGACCCAGCGGCTTAACCAGTGTGTGTTCTGTTGTATAGTTAACCAGCAGCTGTTAAAAAATCTACCCAAATTGCAAACATGCTGAACAATAGGTCTGTTAAATATTTAGAATGTCTTGAAAGGAAACAAAGATAACCTTTTTTAGGTCTGACTGACAGCTTTCTCTGTCAAAGCCAATGGCTGCTACAAAAACTTAAAACACAAGAAAAGAAAAAGGATTTCACTGAATTACATATATAAGCTACTGTAGTAGTGGTAAGAAACTGTACATTATTAACTGCACTATATTTCATGCTCTTCTGTTTAGTTTAAGGTAATCTTATATAATACATTTAACCTGTATTATATTCTCTATGGATTTGTATTACAGTAAATGCACTATGCTTATTTGATTGTGTTACAGTGCTGTTGCAGTGAGTGGTCCTGAGTAATATACTGAACAGATACCAGCTGCTTCTGAGGCCGAGTGCACTTTTATCCTATTCTTCTTCCTGAATGAGGCCTCTTCTGTATACAGGCTATCATTTTACAAACAGCACCAACTTGAATACAATTATGTGAACTGCAGGCCAGTAAAAATGCTTTTCCTATAGCCTAAAACTTCAAATAGTTTCACTATTTTTCTGGTGATATGCATATTTCAATACATTGTTCATGTTATTAAACCTGACACACCATTTATATCCATGGCTTGATGCACATAGTTATGGATAGTTTTCTTAAATCCTTGTAACTTTTACCAGCTTAATAGGTTTTACAAAATTAATTGTCATACCATGGTCTATTTAAGGCTGAAACCAGGGACAGCGCATATTTGTAAAAGTCAACATTGTTAACACCTGTGAAAAGGAAGATGTGCATGTTTTATCAAAGAGAGGATACATATTGTAAACTATCACTATATGTTCTGGTTAAGTGTGATTAAGGTGTGAAAAAACACAAAAGTTGGTGAAAACATGTTTTGTCATTACTTTTGCTACGTGTGACTCTCTCCCAGTTGAATGAAATGACAGTATTTCCTAAGAAAGAGCAGTCATTACTTTGACCCATGACAGAGTCGAGTTTCATGGCTTTCACTTTGTGTAAAACACAATGACCTATTGTAGGCTTTATGAAGCAGACACAGGGGTAACTCACTCAAGACAGTAGTGTACAGTATGTGCAGAAGAGGACATAATGGCCATCAACAGACTGAAGGAAGTGTAACATGGTGATAATAAACCTCCGCTCTCCAATTCTTTTGAAATAATCCCTCCTTTCAGTCAGTACCAAGCAGCAGCCTCCTCCTGCCATCCCATGGAAGGGAAGGAGGACCAGTGCCAGTCTTGTACCTAGTCTGCAATCCTTCAATGGGCCTTTGTGATTCCTGCCATCCTTCCCCCCCGGCTAACCCCCGGCAGCCCATTCAGGAGTGTCACATGGCACTCCCTCTCTGCGCCCATCTCACAATGCTGCCCTGTCATTCGCCCCTCATTGACATGCGCTCATAGTGATGTGCATTGGGGAATGATCGTGCTGGTGTACTACTTTCAAAGGAAATGAAGTGCCGGGCTGGGTGGCCAAAGTGTGGCTTCCTGGATACGGTATTCATATTTCTTAAGAGGAAGTGCGTAAGCGTGTATGTGTGTGTGTGTGTATGTATATGTGTGTTGGGAATTGGTGGTGAGATTCAGCAAATGTCTCACACTCCCACACCTTTGACTGTCAGTTACCATGGGAAAATGTTTGATTGATGCTGAACAACAAGCCTTGCTAACACCATACCGTATATAACAATGTAAAAGATTATGTTTGAATGTTACTATGGAAAAAACTACCAAATGTATATGTAAGTGCCAGGCTACAAGTATGTGTTAAACCCCCAGGCTTATTAGGTTACAGCACGTCTGTTAAAGATGAGGGAAACTGATCAGCAATAAGGTTTCAAATGTATATCTTGGTTACATACTTCCATATCACACAACCCACAAGTCTATTTAGCTTTGATTGTCAGATTATTTTATATTATAATTCTAGATGGTTTTAAATAGGTATATGAGAACTGACAATTTCCAGTGACATTACAAGCGTTCCTTCAACCTAACACTGAACACAATTCAGAACAAATATTATACTCCTTGACAGTGACATGTGGGCCTGTACAAGTGCTGTTCTGGGTCTAAAAGAGGTGAGCTTTCTGCTCTCAACTTGGTGGAAATCGAGTTACTTGTGAGCTGATACTCAGTCTGCAGATGAAATAGTTTACATAGATAGTCCAGGTCATTTAGAATATTCCACAGTTGTAAAAGTTATGTTAAAATTATCTAATTTGGGCTCATTGGAAAATCTAATTACAAATATGGTATGTTTTATACCTAAATCCTAAAAAAATGGCATGTTGACGAATAAAGGCAACTAAGCATTGACTGCAATCAAATAATTAAAACATATTTGACAATAAGTTAGGAAATACACTTTAAAATGCATTTGAAAAAGGCATGAAACTGTTATGTAAAACAGATAATAGCCAAAGAGTTTTCCTTTTAAAGTAGAGTGTTTGAATATAAGACCTTTAGCATAAAACGATTTTTGAGGATGAACGATTTTTACACATTGTAGAATAACTTCATAATAAATCACCTGACCTAGAATAGTTTGGGACAATATCAATATAGTTGTAGTTTCAAGAGTTACTGTGTGTCCCTCATATAGCATAATGGCCTTGTGACTGTCTAACTTCCAACTGTCTTCCTTGGGCCTTAAATTAAATCAGACATTCATTATTTGATGGATTCTAAATTGCCTACCAGAATATATCTGAAACTCAGTTTAGATTATTCATCCATTATCCATTGGGGAATATTCCTTGAGAGACACTGTCTTCTTCTACAATAATTGACAGATTCACAAGAAAAATGGCCCAAAAAATAGCCGTGATGTACAAGAACATGTCAAGAGGGAATTTTAAGAATTACCAGCATTTGTGACTCTTTTTCTCAGCCTTATCCTCCCTTTACCAAAACAGGCAATAATCACCAGTACCATCTTCACCATTGAGAAAGACTAACAGCATAGTTCACGAGAGCAGAGAGCATGAATGAACCCTGCTTGCTGCTATTACATCACGCTTAAAAATAAAGGCTCAATTTAGAAGCAGTGGTGGTTTCATATCATGAAAAATGAACCTTCATCATTTTTTATCGTTATTATACTCAGATGGTTCTCAATGGTGTGTTGCACAATAACTTTAACTTGTGATGGGGTATGTTTACACTGTGGCCCAAATACTTAAAGAGCAGAAGACTTCTTCCAACATCATATTACAGTTTTTTATTAAGTGCATCAAGTTTACATTAAAAAAGACAATATTGAGTCACTTACTAGACTCTAGTTTGTACTTTTTATATTGTAAAACAATACAGTCTATTTTGGTTTTATTATATAAATTCTATAGGCCTACTGTGTATTTGTTTCTTTTATCTTTATCCTTTAAAAAGTATACTTAGCACTTTTGTATTCTTATGTAATAATGTGTACTTTTATGTGATTATAATTATGTTGGCTATTATTTAATTGATGTCATTTCATTACATCACTAGATAACTTCAGATGTAATTCTGTATTCTGGACGGAAATATGAATAAAGCCCTCTTGATTTATTTTTATTTGAGTTCATCCATCACCATTAAGGAACCAGTAGTGATTCATATGCCCCAATATTTTTAAGAATCACTTGCAATGGCTACGTGACCATGTGCAGCACCCCTCCCTCCCTCCTTTACCTCCCCCTCTCTCCCATGCTAGCATCACTCCCCTCGTGCTGTACTCAAAACCTCCAGCGGAGCCATCGCTGTGTATGCCGAGCTGACTGGGGGAGGTCGGATCTGTACTGGTTGTCGTGGGCTGTGCAACGTGTAGAGCCGTGCTGATTGCGAACCCTCTGCATAACGACGGATTTTTAAGAGGGGAATTCACTCACCCGGGGAACCCTTCCCTCCCTGCAAACACGTCCATCCACCACGTTCTTCATTTATAAACGGAGTGTTTTTGTTGCCTCTGCTTCCCACTACCACAGCTGGGATTTGGTCAACATCTCAGGCGGGGGTTGTGTGATGAGGTCGCCCTGCAGCCGGGGTCTGGTTACGATAAGATAAGGCGTTTTTTGTTGCTAGGGCACTTTTGGCTAAAGCGTTTTTTGTTGCTAGGACACTCTTGGCTCCATTTTCAAAGCCTCCTCGCACCCCGAGTGTGTGAAGAAATACACAGCTGAAGGACATAGCTACTACTGGGCTGAGAGACCCGCTGGTGAGTGGATGCTACTCCTTGTTTTAACCCCTTGTTGTTAGCTGCTAACACTGTTATATTGAATGTGTTGTACTTGGCAACAAGCAGTCATATTTTAATGTCAAGACCAGTCAAAGGTGTTGTTTACTCACTAGTTTAACCAGTTAGTCACAGTATAACATCACAGGGTTTTTGAAGAGCTGTGTGTGGATGTTTGAACTGACACTATTATTGTGTTTTAGTAAACGTGGACAATGGGTTGCTCCGGGGAAACTAAACGCTATGTCATTTGCAGCTAGCCGTAAACGCTGCTAGCTAGCGAGCCTACGCCCAGCTGTCTCCTGTCCTTTTAATGAGCAATAACCACAGAAATATTGGGTTAATCTTAGCTGCAACATAAACCTGTATTAATGTAACGATATATATACTGTCATTAAAGCTCTCATAGTGCCATAACTGGGTACAGTCAACCCAGCTCTATGATATAGACTACTATCAACGCACATAAAATATGATTAATTATAAGAGCAGCAACCATGGTTTAAACTCACTTTTAAGAGAAAACTGTGATGGCCCTTTTGAAAACGCATGGTAGGGACACCGCAGGGCTTTCTCTGCGTTTCCGTCAACACTGACAGCATTGTGTGGGCTGTAACCATAGACTTGAACACGCATGAGCCATAACACGCTTAGTGGGTGTAGTTGGCAGCAGTGCAAATATGAGGCAGTTAAATGTGCATACAGTTTTTTTGTAGAGATTTACATATAGGAAATGTGCGCTTATGGTCTCTAATCTGATAAAATGGTGCATGAGAGAGGGTTGTTTATGATGTAAACCTGATATTGTCAGAAATCATGTTCATATTGAACGACTGCCTGCAGTGGAAGCAGCTGCCATGTAACCAGAGACAATGTTCAGTGTCCTCTCCTGAATCGGTCATCTTAATAGCATCTGTTGATGGAATACATCTCAATCATGGAGAAGATACTGCTTAGCCTTCTACCGTTTAAGAATTGTGGGTGTCAAATGTTTTAAATGCCACTGATGCAAATTTGTGATTTCGTTGCAAGGTATGCTGACAGGCTAGATTATTTTACTTAAGTAGCTGGTGGAAAGTACAGTGTGCACATGTGTGGAATTTTCTATGCACTGATCTCTGAGAGTGAAAACCAAACTAAACATCTGGTCTCTTAACAACACAGATGCAATTGGTAAGTATTGTTAGTCCCTGAAAATTCTCCTTCAAATGCAAGTAATATTGTCACTAAACCATGCAGCCATGATAGTGCTAGAAAATGATTTTTATGCAAACAAGAAAATGTGTTTTCAAGACAGAAATCATAATATAAGACTGTCTTAAACACAATACTGAAGAGATGCTTGGCAATGTGAGCATTAGCACTCAACTCATCTTGAGCTGAAGTGGTCAAACATTGCACTGCACGAGTCGATGCACAAATGTAAATGCACTGTAGTAGCTACTGCTCGGCTAGATACAGGCACAAAACAAAGAAAACATTCAGGTTTGGAACATCATGCATTTAGGGCAATTTCAGGCAACCTTTAGATACAGCTAGTAAAAAATGCAGTCTAAAGCTCAGTCAAAAATATGTCAAAGCAGGCAGACTGATTTTGGTTCTCTGCAGTGGTCAGATTTTGTGGGTGTTTTTAAGTATGTATTGTTTTACAGTTGTTAGGCTTAGGATAAATAAATATGTCATCACATTCACAATATTACAGAACACTATATCGTCTGCAGATTTCATTACTTTGTGCGGCCAAAGAAGCATCTAGGATCTGTTGATTTGCCAGCCTAGTATCCAATGACTAGCACTAATAGCAAATCATTTAGTATTTGCTAAATGACTATAATGTTACTTCCTTAGAGGTGAAGCCAGATAACATTTGTATTCTTCAATGAGAGGGTATAAGGCTCAAATGACATAATTATTGAAATAGCTCACCTGATAACGAATAGCGGCAACCCAATCCTGAGGCGAGCGTTGAGCCCATGCCTTCCTGTTACTTTTGGAGGGTGATCATGTTGGTGCAACACTTGGCTTCTGTAACAGCAAGTGCAGATAGTCTTCTTACTTCACTGTCATTCATGGTTTTATTGGTATTTAGGGTTAAAGATCTTTAGATATTTCTGAAAAAACTATTACCAAAAGTAAAAACCAATCCTGTATTTCAGATTGTTTATCAGGGCTGCAACAATTATCTTCATTGTGGAATAATCTGCCGAAAATCTTCTCGATAATACAGTTACATCTAAGTATTCCTAACAATTACTCTATGATAAGATCACCAATCATTGCAGTTATGTTGTTGTGTTGAAACTAGTTGTGTCATTTTCAAGAGGAAATGAGCATTACTTCATGAATTTACTAAAGAGCACTGGTGCCTCATATTGAGGGCAAAGGTTGAACAGTCAGCTACTACATTACATAAATCAATTGAATCAAACTGGTGTCTCTTGAACCATGTGGAGCTGGTCCAACATGTTCAGTATAGGCTACACATTGCTGCAACTTTTGAGATGTGGCTGAGTAGTGTAGGATTAGTATGCAGAATTAGTGGAAAATATATATATATATAGGCCTTAGAGCTCATGTCAAACCATAATAGACTAAAAGGCCTTTTGTGTGGCTAGTAGGCCAGTCTTTTTACTCTCAGTGTTTTAACTTCAGGGTAAAAAGATGCTGTGGTCCATTTTTATGTTATTAACCCTCCACAACTCTCTTGTAAGCAACTTAAACTGTAACGTGGTTTAACCTTAATTGGCATCCTTCAAGCAGCTTGAATATGAAATAAAATGAACGGACAAAAACAATAGTGCTTTCAATATGTTTACTCATCTACTCATCTAATTTCAACACCAGCGTTATATGTAGCATATCATAATCTGTCTTGCTGAGATTTTGCTACATAATTTGAGATACAGTATGCAGGGTTTTGTCTGAACCGCTGCGCCCTCTTACTTTCGGCTTGCGCCCTCATACCGAAATGCAGATTTCCCCCCAGAAAATGTTAAAGTGGTGCCAGAAAACAATATTTCTGTTAGTCAAAAAACGGTATGATTACAACAAAAATATAAAAATGGTGTCAAATCGACCGTCAGACAGCATAGACGGCTTCGTTTTACGGAGCTCCGAATAATTAGGGGATCTGTTGTCATGCCAAATGGATGCCAAGTGTCATGCATAAAGCCTGCCTGGGCATCGGTGATTGATCAAGTTGCCTTTGTTGCTATCTCGATGCAGAGTAGTTGGTGGCTAACTTTTGACTTTGTCTATTTATTGTGTTACTCATTCGTGTCATATACTAATTATATCATAATTGTTGTTGCTCTTGGCTTTAAGTACAGGCCCTTGGCAAACTCAAACACATTTCTCAAATAGATTGACTAAAAATTCTCTGAAAATACGTTCAATGAGTAGGCATACAATGCGGGTGTCCATTTATAAATAAAGTGAGTTTTTTAGATTTAGTCATAGTTTGTGGTTCGACACCTTTGCATGCTTGCATGTCTCAGTTAAAGTTTTTGTTTATTTCCTGCAGGTCAGTATAACTCCAAGAGCCGATATGATGTGTATTGGGTTCAGGTTGTTTTTATGTTTCAGCATGACTTACTCACACTCACATGACTACAGTTTTTATTTATAGTGCTTGTGACGCTGCACTATGCAGACCAATGGTCCGGTTGCTCTAAAGTAGGTATCACTAAAAAATACATGGCAAAAGATTAGGCTTGTTACAAGTAATTATAATCTTGTTCAGTGGTACTGTTTAGAAAAGGTTATTTTTAAATGAAATCACTGACCACTGTTGATTTAAAGGTGACAATGTGTGGGTACTAAACAACCATAGACAAAAGTCAACAAACAGTTCACAAAAAATATAATTAAATTGGGTAGAAAGTCAAATGTTGACCGACAAATGAGGTGACATGGAGTACTGAAAGTAGAAAAAAAATCCTCCAGAAAAATGTGGCGTTGGATACGGGGAGACGAGTGCTATGAGACAGCTGTGTGTGTCAGTTCCTCTTGTTTGTGTCAGCTTGTGTTACTATCAGAGTCCACGCAGGAAGGATGAGCTTTAATGGGAGAGAGGAAGGGGGGGAGGGCAAATATAGTAAGGTCATAACACACGTTTTATTCTGGTCACATTTACATGCTTTTAGTTCATGAATGAACCGCTCTTCTTTCACAGATATATCATTACAAGTTTCTAAGAGGTTTTATTTATAGTTAAAACCATAACCCTTATTCTCAGACACCATTCCAAGGATTAATAACGTCTCAAAGCTATGTCAGTTTAAAACTTCACTAAAGAAAAGTAGCTTAAAGTAGTAGATTAAAAGTAGATTATTGTTTTTGGAGCAAAGGAGGAACGATTTAAAAGTCATCACAGAGCTTCAGTCGGCAGACTTTAAAACAACAAATAAAGCAAGAAATCTAGGTGTAGTGATGGACTCGGACCTGAATTTTAACAGTCACATTACAACAGTTATTAAGTCTGCATTCTATCACCTAAAGAATATATCTAGGTTTAAAAGACTAATGTCACAGCAGGATTTTGAAAAGCTTGTCCATGATTTTATCTTCAGTAGACTCGACTACTGTAATGGTGTCTTCACAGGTCTCACTCAAAAATCCATTAGAAAGCTGCAGCTGATTCAGAACGCTGCTGCTCGAGTACTCACTGACACTAAAAGAGTGGATCACATCAGTCCAGTTCTGAAGTCTTTACACTGGCTTCCAGTCTGCCAAATAATTGATTTTAAAGTACTATTGCTGGTTTTTAAAGCACTAAATGGTTTAGGACCAAGTTATATTAACGATCTCCTGCAGACGTATGAACCGTCCAGGAGTCTCAGGTCTTCTGGGACGGGTCTGCTCTCTGTTACAAGAGTCAGAACTAAACATGGAGAAGCAGCGTTTAGTTTTTATGCCCCGACCATCTGGAACAAACTCCCTGAATCCTGCAGGTCAGCTGCAACTGTTAATACTTTTAAATC